AGCACAATGATTTTATTAAAGCTCTGACAAAAAATTATTCCTCAGACGGCCAAGGTTACGCTAGTGAACTCTCTGTTGCTTCCTATTTTAGATTATACTGATATTGCTTATCCAGGTATAATTGAGGATCTGTTTAGCAAACTCGATCCTCTGCTCAATCTGTGCATACGCTATATTTTTGACCTGCGCAAGTTTGATCATATATCACAATTTCGCTCAAGAATTAAGTGGTTCGGCATCCGTTTTCGCCGGAACTGAATCACACCTTCTAACCGCTTTGTATGGTATTCTTCACAGTTTTTGATCCCCAGCCATATTTATTATTTATTTATTATTTAAAAGATGCTCCCTCAATAAATACGTTTAAACGTAAGGTAGCACATTATTTAAAATTGCTTGATTAATGTTATTGGTTTTTTAAAGTGCGAGCAGCTATGCAGATCTAGAGAGAGAAACCAGTATCACTACGACCTAAAAGATCTATTGTAATCGCTGCTATGGCTATAGTTCTCTGATAAGTCCTACGTCTTCAATGAATAGAAAGAGTTGCTTAGTTGTGAGCAATTTCACTTCTTCTGGGTGGAGTGCGTAGTTTCCCAGATGAGTTTTGTGTTTGCGGATTATGGGTCCACACTTCGTTAAGATGTGCATAGGGGTTTCTTCCATTAAGGAACAGAACCAGCACATCCTTTTTTCTTAGTCTGCTTAGTCTAAGGATGGATATGTGCTTTTTAAGGCAACAATGTCCAGTCAGGGCTCTTACCAGAATGCGCAATTTATTTTTACTTAATCCTAAGGCTTCTGAAGTGAATTTACGATCAAAACCCCTGATTAAGATTAAAAAAAGTGATTTATTGTGGTAAAGTGTTTCAAGAGTCAATCAGGCTAGGCTTTTTGATATTCCACAAAATGGCTCAGTTCCAAATTGTGTACTGTTTGAACCCTCCCGTGCAAGTTTATCGGCCAATTCATTGCCTACAATACTCGCGTGTCTAGATACCCTTCTTAGAATGATCCTATTGTTACATACCAGGGCGTTTAGATGATCCATGTTATTGGTTTATATATTACAATTTCCTAAAAAATTAATAATTTTTCTCTTGCGGTTCTACCTATGACTCTCACCACACTACCTAAGGTTACCGGCGTTAAGCTCGCCTATGTACCTACTAAATTATTTCTTTTTGTTTGATTACAATAAAGAATTTTTTATCTGTTACATCTTTAAGGTCTATTTCTACATCTTTATATGTTAGCCTCATAGTTTTTAGGTATTGTATTATTAAATATAGGTATAAATAATTTAACTCCTTGGTTTATTGTATAAAACGCTCAAGTTTGTTCTGCAGGGCCAAAGAATAATGTATACTTAAATCATAATTTTAATGGATCCCCTTTACACCATAGGTAAAGTAGTATACACTCCACCTATTATAATACTTTCTAAATGATAAGTGTGCGCTAGTACTTCCTATTGATTGTGGGTTACTTTTTTGGTATGGGTCATTTCACTTTAATTTGTAGGTTGTGTTAAATATAGTTTTTTTATATGTTGGTTTTGGTTGCTTTTATGTTTATTGAACTGGAATTACCTTTTCTTCGTACTATTTCCTGGCGTAGGACTGGCTGAGTAAAAATAGTATGTAGGCGTACTTAAAAGACCATCTTATTGTATATACATTATTCATATTTTTTTCCCTTTGTTCTATTTACAATTACATATCAAATCTCATAACCTGCAAAACGGCCTTCGTCTAAGTTTTTGTTTCAAAATAGAAGTTTCTCTATTTTGCTTGTAGTTAGTCTTCTTCTTCTTTGAATTACAATCAGCCCCGATTTGGAGGACGTTTTTTCGCACTGCACTTATGTTGCTAGTCGTATTACCTTTTTCTATATAAATTTTGGCTAAGTTTGGATGAACAAATTCGTAAGTATTCCCCATTCCAAAGGATTATTACAGTCACCAGTAGTATTTGTCATTGGTAATAAGTAATAAGTCATCGACCACATAGGTGTCCACTTCTTTTATGGCTTTAGATAACGGAATACCTGTGGTAGAAGGTGCCCTTATTATTTGATCAAAAATATCCTTGGGATTGTATTCATTCCTAGTTCTTGTTGATTCATTTTGATTTGAAGTTAGGGCCAGTGGTGCAGCATCAATTTTGGATATTTCAGTGGCGACGAGCGTTTGTACTCTATCTTTTGCTTTGACAGCTTAAGCATGGTCTGCGAATCCCTGCATCTTAAATCAAGGGTTCAAGAAAGTACATAAACTAAATGTGTCACTTTGCTCCATCCCTTTGAATCTGTCTGATAAACCTGATTTTAACAATGAAACTATATCATGGACAATTGACGTTAGATTCCCTTTCTCTCATATTTTCTTATAAGGTTCTATCAGGCAACATGTCATTATTATTACATATCCACCCGTCAAATATTTATGGCCACTCACGTTTCTTGTCACCTCTTCGAATAGTTCCAACATATAACTTTTTTTAAAGGATAGGGTAACCAATGAGTACACAGTCGACCTGATAGTAAGTGGTTGCTGTGGCCCACAGACCATAGGACCATAGGACATAGGCCCCATCCTAGGTTCGAATCAAAATGCAGATGCGTTGTCAGCCGTGATGACTAAGATGGAATGCCTCGTTTCTAGTAAAAAGGGTCTCCGGTTCTCTACAGTCACCATACGAAACACAGCAGCATAAAGTTACTATATTACGCTGGTATTATGTGAGAGCGTGGTCCTTCCCCGGTCGAGCCGACCCATTCGTGTCACAATTATACTACTAATATACTTGCAGCGTGACTATACCACGTATGTAGATAACGGTTGATAAGTGGTTCAATCTTCCGAAGTGACCGTCGGCAAGTCTTTGTCTGCTAGCACCTGAGTCTTTCTCTGCGAGCTTTTTTATGTGAGTCACAGCTCACTTTATATTATCTATTTGTCTCTAGCAAATTTTAATTGCGTCCTTCGTTATTAACTGTTTCCTTTTAAAATGGCTTCTTAAGTTGGAGATTGTGGATTCGTTACTAATTTTTTCTTGACATAAACGGCATATGGCAACAACAACAACAACAAAACACAACAAACTTGAGCTTCTACGTACCGCTGACATAATGTCCAAGTTTTGTCACAAAACACTATTCACGTAAAATCTCAACCCAATACATATTATTTTACAGTAAAACTTAAACTTAAAAACTTAAAAAAAATTAAACTTAATAACACTCGTCCTCGACGCGTAATGCAAACAAAATAATCGCACGAATTTTAGCCTTGACCGAAACTCACTGATTGTTTACACACACTGAATACAAAATTATTAGTCTTGTGTAGTTCGCGAACAATGAACGAATAGGAAATATATCTTAGCACTGTATTAGAAGAAACGTTTCCGAGCGCTGATTATTAATCGGTCTAACAGTTTGTTTCGTACAGCTACATTTGCAAGACGCCGAAGAAGTGTGTGAAGTGAGACGTTAAAGACTAGACGTTAGTTAAATCAATGCAATAACATTTATTTTAGCTTATCGTCCCAAAAGATGCAAGACTCAATGTGTTTACAAATTATTGTACTTGTTATAATTATTAAACAGATACAAACAAACATTTGATAGATTTCGTTTCTGCACTTGCGATAGCGTAAAAATTTAATAAAGTTGAAGTTATGTTGTAATTATAACAACTGTTGGGGAGAGTTTTATGCTTTTTATTATTGTTTTAATATCTGTTTCGTTCTTGGATGTTTTTTATTAACAACATTACGACTCGAGCAGATATCGGCTGACTGAGAATGCGATTCCATACATACAGATATAATTTGAACCGCTTAGTAGTTCTGATGATCGAATAGAGCTAATAGAACGAACTAGTTCACTGTTCCAAATGAACTAGTACGGAGCGATCTTTAAAATGACCGAGCAGGCACAAGACTAAAAATCATAACAAATGAACTTTCTTTACTCGCTCACGCTTACACACGCAGGCACATGATCGCATCCGATGCGTCTACGCAACGCTGTAAGGTAACCTCCGGAAGTAACGAATATTTCCGAAGGAGACTAAACTCACAGAAATTAATAAAATAATATTGAAAAAAAAATGCGTTGAGTGTGTTGACGTAAATTGACAGCTAATATTTTCAACCTGTTTTTTCATAAATGAATAACAGTTAACACGTTGAAAAGCCGTTAAAAACAGTTTATTGATCCAACGTCCACCTCTAGAAGTGTGTGCATTGCAGCAAGACAACTCATAGGGTGCGATTGGCAGAAAAAAGCGCTAGCAAGCGCTTTTAAGCAAAATGGCGAAACTATAAAAAAAAAACTGTTACAAATAACAGTTATAAACAGTTTTCGGCCAGGACACGTTTGCTAACTTCAGTAGCGCTGACACAATCCGCCATTTTGCTTATTTATTTATTTTGTTTTGAAGTAGAGTTTATAAGTTGTTTTGTGCAATATTAGTTTTAAGTAATATAATGACATGAATAAACATATGTATATGTAACATGTATACATGTTATTAAAAATTCATGATTGGTAAGTTTTTAATATGAATACTTTACAAACATATATTTAAATTAGGTTAGGTTCCCTGGTTAAAACTAACTTCGTGTCCTAGAGGAAAATAGCTACTTACGATTTGATAGCGCTTACCGCTTACGATCGCCATTTAACTTATAAGCGCTTGCTAACGCTTTTTTCTGCAAAACGCATAACGCAGCCATAGATAATATACTAAAACTTCCTATATATAAAAAAGTACTCTGTGACTAAAACTAAAAGGCCAGGCAGTGCAAGTGTTGTGTTTGTGTTTGAACTTTGAATGAAATTGTCAAAATAAAATAAAAATATACAAATAGTTATTGTTAATGTGAAAATATATTCATGTTCTTGTTGACTGTTTTTTTTAATTGTATATAAAAATTTAATCCCTACATAGTTACCGTATTTCAATAAATTTTACCTAATTTGTAAAGATAATGCCTGTTGGAAGAAAACGGTGGAATCTTCATGGTAAGTAATCAGTACGTAAAAATATACAATTGTTTTTCTAAATAACTAATACTTAGCTAGCTAATTATAATGATTGCATATTAAACTTGTACCGTAAAATTTTATAATCTTGGATTATTAAAACCAAAATAACACTAACAATAACTTTATTTATAAGGCTAAAAATATGTGTAAAGCAATTTGGAACCGCATCCAAGAGACCATATGACTTTCTGAGTAATAGATATAGAAATTCGATTTACGGATCCTGTAGATATTACAAATATCATCATCATTATCATACAGCTTCTGTATAAATAAATTTGACAAGCAAAACGAAAGTTAAAATGAGTACTTTAAAATACATACCTAGATCTTATAAATAGTAGTATATTTTTGTAACCAAATTTTGTAGAAAAACTACAAATTATACTTGTGTTAAATAAGTTATATTTGGTGGGTTATGGTGGAATTACCACGAAATTTTAAAGCTGTGTTCTGATTTGGTATCTCCAGTTTTTTCTTATATGTTTAACCTATCCTTTAAATATGGTATATATCCATCCAAATTCAAAATTTATGTACTTAACTAAACCTGTACTGTAGCATAAAGCATCTAACAAAAAGAAAAATAACAATTACTTATAGACAATAGGTTTCTAATCGCTTTAGTTTAGTTTACAACTGGCTGTTTTCCACAACTCTGGGCAGGAATTATGTGGTTATTCAAGCCATGAAATCTCCCCGAATAAGTTCAACAGTCCTTTGATGTTGCAAGCAACTTCGGGGAGCGATCCCAGAGTGCTGAGATGTTTAGCCCTGTATGAAGTGACAGCAACATGTGAGCCACCGTTTCTTCCTCCCCCATGCATGCCTTACATAGGAGGCTATCTGTAACACCTATGATAAACAAATGTTTGTTAAAAGAGCCATGTCCTGTGATAGCACTTGTTACTATCCTGATCTGTGGCTTCTTGAGTCTCATTAGAACCTTGGTTAGGCGACTGTTTATTTTAGGCAGTGCCTCCTTAGCTTGTCTACAGTCTACTAAATTTTTCCAAAGTTGAGCATGTAAATTGAAGCCAATTCCCTTCTGGCCAGTTCATCTGCTGCATCGTTGCCTCTAGATCCACTATATCCCTCAATCCATTGCAGAGTCACATTATTGTGCTTACATACCTCATTTAATTGTTGATGGCAATCATATATTAGTCCCGAGTTTTCCACATTACAACTCAGTGCTTGTAGTACTGCCATACTGTCGGTCAGTATTCTGTTGGAGAAGTCTTTTACCTTCCAGGCATCTATTGCTATGACCACTTGGATTATATCCATACATCAAGTATATCTGTAAGTACATAAATAAAGGAAGCGACCAAGCAATATTTAATCTCAGGAGTGAAGGTGAGGCAAATCCCGTTAATGAAGTACAGACCTTTCAAGCAGGGCATTATGTCAGCAGTAACGAGGCAGCGTGGCGTCTCCTTGACTTCCTTTTACACGAAAGGCACCCAACAGTTACTCCCCTTGCTTTGCACTTAGAAAATGGAGAGTGTGTATATTTCACCGAAAGAAATTTCCAAGAAAGAATTGCATCACCGCCAAAAACTACACTAACAGCCTTCTTTCAACTTTGTCAAACCGACCCCTTGGCAAAAATGTTGTTATATATATTCTGAAGTCCCCCACTATTATACTTGGAACACATTTAGGAAGGAGTGGAAACGCCGTATTCAAGGCGCCCCTGTTGCAAATTGGCCCGGTGTAAAGTCATCAGATGCCCTTGGTCGTGTGTATACCGTCCATGTAACTAATTTTGAATGTTTCTGTTTACGATTGCTGCTGCACCATGTTCGGGGTCCTACAGGATATAAAGACCTTAAAACTGTCAATGGTCAGGAATGCGCAACTTATAGAGAAGCATGTGAAGCTCTGCATCTTTTAGAAAACGATAACCACTGGGATGAAACCATGAAGGAAGCTGTGCAGTGCCAGTTACCAGCCAAAATTAGGGATCTTTATGCAACTCTCATATTATCTTGCGGGCTATCTAACGCACATGAATTGTGGGAAAAATATAAAGAGTACATGGCGGAAGATATTTTGTGAAGGTTACAGCAGACACGCGAACATGACATACAATGAACACATTTATAATGAAGCACTTGGAAAAATTGAAGATAAATTATGGCAATGGTAGGCAAAAAATTAAGCGACTTTGGAATGATAAGCCCTCAGCGAACAACCGAACATAAACTAAGTGATGAAATTATACGTGAAACAAACTACGATATACCAGCTTTGCAGCAGCAAGTAGCCGAATTTGTACCCCCCTTGCTTCCTAAACAAAAACGAGTTTTTGACAAAGTATTAGGACAAATTGAATCTGGAAATGGTGCACTTTTCTTTTTAGATGCCCCTGGAGGAACTGGGAAGACGTTTTTGTTAAATTTATTATTAGCGCAAGTACGGAAAGATAAAAACATTGCTGTCGCCGTAGCTTCCTCCGGTATAGCCGCCATGCTGCTAAGCGGGGGCTGCACTGTACATTCTGTTTTAAAACTCCCTCTGAATCTAGCCCAGGAAGAATCGCCGATCTGAAACTTTAGCAAAAATAGTGCACGAGGTATAATGCTACGACAATGCAAACTTTTAGTGTGGGACGAAAGTACAATGTCGCATAAAAAAGCTGTAGAAGCACTAAATCGAACGCTCCAGGATTTGCACAGCAATACCGATGTAATGGGAGGAATGGTGGTTTTACTGGCTGGTGACTTTCGCCAAACTTTACCTGTCATTCAAAAGGACACACTTGCAGATGAAATTAAATCATGCCTTAAGTCGTCTATTTTATGGAACAAGGTGACAAAAACTAACTACGAATATGAGATGGCATTTGTATAATGATATCAATGCTGGAAACGGATGCTGAGGGCTGCGTTAAATTGACGAGAGATTTTTGTAATTTAGTACAGAGTCATTCCGAATTAATTGCGAGCGTTTATTCAGATTTAACGAACAACATGCATGAAGACAAATGGTTATGTGAAAGGGCGATTCTTGCACCAAAAAATGAGAGCGTTATCAAAATAAATTCAGATATATTAAGCGAAGTAGCAGGAGAAATAACAGAGTATTTGTCAGTAGACACAGTTATGGACACAGAATAGAGCACTTCATATCCCGTAGAGTTTTTAAATTCTTTAGAGTTGTCAGGTGTGCCCTCATGCTATCGTCCCAGTCATGCTAATGCGAAATTTAGATGCTCCTCGGTTATGTAAAGGGGACAAAGCTGCGTGTGACACATCTTGGACGAAACATAATCGGTGCTACAATTTTGACAGGCGTAGGAAAAGGTGAAAATGTTACTATACCACGGATCCCTATAATTCCCACAGATCTTCCTTTTCAATTCAAAAGGTTGCAGTTCCCTATTAAGTTCAGTTTTGCAATGACAATTAATAAAGCGCAAGGGCAAACGTTACAGGTAGCGGGGGTCAACTTAGAAAAATCGTGCTTCTCTCATGGTCAGCTGTATATAGCATGTTCGCGTGTGTCAAATGCCCAGAATCTCCACATTCTTTCCCCAAATAGAAAAACATAACATTGTGTACAGTAGCGTCTTAAAATAGTGTTCAGTTAGTTTTTTTTTTCAAAATTTCCATAATCAATTAATCAGATTTCCCACAGATCTTCCCTTTCAATTCAAAATTTCCTATTTAGCTCAGTTTCTTTTCAATTCCAAATGCTGCAACTCTGACGGACCTATTTAGCTCAGTTTCCTTTCAACTCAAAAAGCTGCATCTCTGACAGATCTTTTATTTGGCTCAATTTCCTTTCAATTCAGAAAAATGCATCACTGACGAATCAATTTAGCTCAGATTCTTTTCAAAAGTCTGCATCCCTGACGGATAATTATGCTGAGTTTCCTTTAATTAAAAAAAATATCCCATTTCCATTTGGAATAAACAGGCTATTTTCATGCTTTCCTGTATGCTGCGTTTCAAAACATTTAAATAGGCTGACGAATCAATTTTGCTCAGTTTCCTTTTAATGGCTGCATATCTGACAAATCTATAAAACTCAGTTTCCTTTCAATTCAAAAAGCAATGGATAGATCATTTCCCAGTGACCATGCGGGCGAAGGCGCGGGTAACAGCTGGGCTATATTTAAAACATAAATAAATATATATTTAGTTATTTAACTAAATGCAATGAATATACTAAATATATTATATTATATTAAATGGCTAGTGTGGGAGCGAAGTTACAATCCAAAGTCGGTCAAATTACGGACTTCTTTATACTTGGTATTTTAAAAACTAAGCTTAATCAATGTGTGGTTTATGGAACTCGTAATTATTAGATGCCACTCATCACTATTGCCTCCTCAAGAGTCGTGGTAACTCAGATGATTAGCGCTCGCTGTAAATTTCACAGTATGCGAGCAAACCCGGTTTGGATCCCTGCGGCATTAGGAGTGTGTAACTCTTTACGGAACCGACTCATTGAAGTGATTTAAAAGATTGGTTCAGTAACAATGTTTCAAATGCATCATTTGCATCTGAAACATTACTTTGCTCTTTGTCCATTTCGTGCGACGCGTCGCTGGCGAGGCGACTGAGTTGTGGCGAGAGTGACGAGTGAGCCTAATTAATAAATGAGCGAAATAATTACAATCTATGCAAGTCAGAAAGAGATAACAAAGAGAAGTATATCACTCAACTCGTATGGATTTTCGCTGCAGTTATTGATGCATGTAAAAATGACTGCATATAATGTTTGTCGTCATATGTCGTTTTTTGCATATAATGTTTGCATTAACACGTTGTCATTTTATGATCACGCACTTGTCAAATTGTTTATGTTCGTTCGCGCCTGTTTACGAAAACATACTAAGTTTTGTTTAAGATTTCTTTGTGATTATTGTAACTTACTTTCTTCGTTTTCATCATAAATAATACCCCAGCTGGCCGTAAATGAAGTACTAGCTGCCAGTCCTAAGACTGGATAAATTATGA